TGGAGGGTCAATCATTTAGCTCCAAAGAGATAAACAACAACAACATGGAGGAACAGGGTGACACTGAGGGCCTATATGTGAGGTGTCATCCCTGTGAGAGACATCCAGACGTCCTTACAATGATTTATGTCCTCACTACGGTGCTTCAGAACTATGTCCTCACAAAGAAGCAATACAAGACTGTCGCCTGACACACTTCCTCTCTGTAAGTTTGTTTACATAGCCAGCCAACCAACCAACCCTGAATGATGAGGACTGCCACCATGGGAACAGAGTCCACCCAGACGATTCACACTGACCGTTAAAGAAAAAAAAAAAAGTAAACTGTGTGTTACTCACATCGACGTAGTTGGCGTTGATGTAGTCGGAGCTGCTCTCTCCGTCCTGAGGCTGCAGACGCACACGAGAGTGATCGTCTACCACACGCACATGCACACACACACACACACACACACACACTCGTTAATTGTTCTGCTTGTTGTCGTGGCCAAGCTGAACATAATCACCTTTGATTAGTTTCTGCTGAATAAATAATCTAATAATAAATTAATATCCACTTGATTACATTCATTCAGACTGAATCTGTGAATCACCAGGGACTGAGTGAGTGTGTGAGCAGTCACGTCTATTTATTCACATTATTCATCTTTACATTCTCTCCTTGAAAACAGACCTGAATCCTTATAATCACATCAGATAGAGGAAATGATGAAGCATTTAAATTCATCTGTGAATGTCAACAACATGTTTCAGCGTTTCATCTATAAAGAACTGACTATGGAGCAACAACATGAAACTAGCTGTTTTGTTGTTAGCTGTTCTTCTACCTTTCTACATCTACGACAGGATCACAAACAGTTTGACGAGTTTTCATCAACAACAGAAATTATGAATATATTTGTCAACAACCTTTTTTTGTGACCAAAACATGACTAAAGCTAAAATTAACTTTAGAAATTGAGACCTGAGATGAAATTGACAAACAAAAAAACGAAGTCCAGGACTGGATTTTCAGGTCTTCTGAGCTGGATATTTCATCAATAAAAACTATGATGAAAAATATTTGTTTACAACCATTTTTACAGAAGACATAAAATAAATAAGAAGTAACCTTTGAAAACTGGAAGTGAAATATCAAAATGTGATTTTATCAACAAACAAACTAAACTATAACATGAAGCCGCACAAATGTTATGACTGTTACATCTCTGCAGACACTGTATGAGTCACACTAAGGTTATAGTCTAAACTATAGTTTAATGTTTAACTCTCAGGCCGGTACACTAGACTACACTTACTTCCTTACTGACTGTCATTGACAATGTGATGTGTCCACTGAGACAAATCTGCTTGTTTCAATGATTATACAAGTCACCCCAAAATCAAGACTCAAGTCCCAAAGAACAAGTCCTAAAGAACAACAAATCTCAGGTCAAAACAGGTAAGTCCCAAAGTCAAGTCCCCAGTCAAGTCAAAAGTCAAGACCAACAAGTCCCAAGTAAAGTCCCAGGTCAAAACCAGCCAGTCCTAAGTCAAGTATCAGACAACAGTCAAAAAAGTCAAGACCAACAAGTTCAAAGACAAGCTGTATGTCAGCAGTAACAAGTCACAAGTCAAGATGCAAACCTTGATCAAAATTCACATCATGACCACCAGGGAAGAGGTCAGAACCAACAACTCGCAGGTCTATAAACTGTTTCTGGTCCCCATCTCTGGTCAGGACGTCAGGACAATGGTTTAAGGCTTGGTCATGTTGAATCTGAGAACTCATCTGGGACACACAAATCTGTCGTGTAGTGTTCTCCCAGCATCATATTAATGTTCTTTATGATGGTTCATATTAGTATGATTAATGATAATTACTGCAGCTTCTACATGAGTGTTTTCTACCAGACTGATGCTTCCACAGTGCCGCTGAGCCTGGTATTCAGCTCCTACACCTGCTGAACTGAAAAACAGTCAGACAGTTTCATATCAGCCTCTCAGATCAGTGTTCATTCAGACAAAGAAGAGCGTGGAGGTACGTACAGGCGATGATGTTTCCGTAGCGATTCTTCATGCGATTCTCGTCCTTTTTGGCCGAGTCCCAGGGAGCGGACTGTCCCTCAAAGAAACTCTGGTAAGACAAAAAGACATGAAGACAGAGTGTCTGTTGAAAAAGAGAGCAGATCCAGAGTGATGAGACTCAGTGGATGACTTCATGAATAATGCAGAGGATGTGTTTGATTTTCTCTCCCTGAACAAACACACAGGCGTTAGTTTTATGGTCAGAGCAGATGATTAAGTCCAATTATGAGAACGAGCTCAGAGAGAAGCTGGAGGCGATTAAACACACATTGATAGTTGTTCTTTGACTGTGTTCAAACAGAGTGAAACTGCTCCGACTGCTCTGTGCTGAGACAACACTTCTCCTCTCTGTTGATCTCTGTGCTGAAAAATAACCAGAATCACTGAAGTCTTTAACGTTACATCACGATATCACAGATTCACTGGAGAACACAGAGTCCACAGAAGAAGAACCAAGACGGGCTCATTTTAATAGACTACATGAAACTGGAGGGACATGATTACAACATTTAGTCCCCTCCCCTAACAACCACCAATCCAGACTTGTTTGTGTCTCTTTGTTGTTTGATATCTATCTATATATCTATCTATTTATCTATCTATCTATCTATCTATCATTGCTGCTGAGCTCAGACACTTTGATCCACAGCAGGTTTCCTGGGTTGCTCATTAAAATGCCTGCAGACGGACATGTGTGTGTGTGTGTGTGTGTGTGTGTGTGTGTGTGTGTGTGTGACAGCAGTCTAACAGCTCCAGACATCCATCAAACTGAGAGGTGAACGATGTCACACACACACACACACACACACACACACACACACACACACACACACACACACACACACACACACACACACACACAGCTCCACATGATTGACAGTGAGGAACAAAGGGAAGAAAAAAAAAAGAAAAGAATCGAAGGAAGGAATGAACTAATGACTGCTGGCAGCGACTCCACTCTGTGTGTGTGTGTGTGTGTTTCTGATGGTAATGCTACCTGTCCCCTTAACTCACCAACAACCTCCACCTGTCATTAAAAAAGGTCAAAGGTCACAGGTCTCCTGTGACTTAAACAGAATCTCTCCCTTGTTCAAGGGGGGGGGTCACAGGGGTTCTGAAATGAACCTGAACCTTTTCAGGCAGGTTCACACTCTGTTCGGATCTGTCATTGCGTAACATCTGGAAGGATGGATGGATGAAGGAATGGAAGGATGGACCCTTCAGGCTGATTAACTCTGAATCTCTCACTACAGACGCACTTCAAAACACTGGCTAGCTTAACAACATTAAGGCTACAATGAACCCATAATGCAACGCTGTAAAATACTGTAGTTACGTTGAAGCTCTCTGGTGTTTCTCATCATGAAGATTAGCTCAGTCACTGTTGACCTGCTTCAGGTGGAGGTGGGTCAGTGGGTGGAGGTGGGTCAGTGGATGGAGGTGGGTTAGTGGGTGGAGGTGGGTCAGTGGGATAGTGGGTGGGTAGAGGTGTGGAGGTGGGTCAGTGGATGGAGGTGGGTCAGTGGGTGGAAGTGGGTCAGTGGGACAGTGGGTGGAGGTGGGTCAGTGGATGGAGGTGGGTCAGTGGGTGGAGGTGGGACAGTGGGTGGAGGGGGGTCAGTGGGTGGAAGTGGGTCAGTGGGACAGTGGGTGGAGGTGGGTCAGTGGATGGAGGTGGGTCAGTGGGTGGAGGTGGGACAGTGGGTGGAGGTGGGTCAGTGGGTGCGTAGAGGTGTGGAGGTGGGTCAGTGGGTGGAGGTGGGTCAGTAGATGGAGGTGGGTCAGTGGGACAGTGGGTGGAGGTGGGTCAGTGGATGGAGGTGGGTCAGTGGGTGGAGAAGGAACCATCTTCTCTCCGACAGACTCCTGGAGATGTTTGAAACCACTTCCTCAAACACTCGTTGGGACACAGAAACATTCTGAAATGTGTTTGAGTGTCTGTTGTTGCAAAAGAGTTTTCATCCCGCTGGTTAGAGGATCTTTGAGATTTAAAACAGCAGGAAGTGACTTTAAACGACCTTCAGGGTTTTATCAGAGAATCACACGATTCTTCAGTAACGTGAACATAATGCTGAGAGAGAGAGAGCGAGAGATAGTGTGTGTGTGTGTGTGTGTATGTGTGTTGGGCGTCAGCCACCATCTAGTCTCTAATCTAGTTGACATGAACACAGGATGTTAACAGTCTGAAAACCAAGAAGGCATCTTACCTCGTTAAGCTGTCCAATCAGATTAATTAGTAAAGGGGAAGCATGGAGGGATCAGGGAGATAACAGTCATCAGTCAGCTGGACGTCTGTTAGCTCAGTTTACTGCTGCAGCAGTTACACATCAGTCATCAATCAGTAATCAATCAGTGATCAATCAGCAGCTAAATTCATCCAAAGGATTAAAACCAAAAGAAAAACAACTTTACTTTGGAAACTCTGATTTATTTCCTGACATTTATTTTGAATTACATAAGATTTCCTGTTGTCATAATCATCTTCACACTTTATCAATTAACAATCAATTATTGAATTTGGTTAAATGAGAAGGGATGGAGGTGAAAACAATCACTAACCAGACGTTACCATGACAACGTGTGAGTGTTAGTTACATGTTTAAAGCAGAACAACAAACATCTGGATCATAATTCAAACACATGTGGGTTCTGTTCCCATCAACACCAGACCAGTCTGACAAGAATCACCAGTCTGACCAGTCTGGTTTCAGACATTTTAAAGGTCACTTCCTGTTTTTGCATTTTGGAACTTGTTCTTTTATTCTGAAATGATGATCCTGTAAAATAAACGTAGTTTCTTTTTCAGGTAAACCAGACAGACAGTTGAACAGACAGACAGGTGGACAGACAGACAGTTGAACAGATAGACAGACAGACAGACAGACAGACAGACAGACAGACAGACAGACAGGTGAACAGACAGACAGTTGAACAGACAGACAGACAGACAGACAGACAGACAGTTGAACAGACAGGCAGGTGAACAGACAGGCAAGTGAACAGACAGACACGTGAACAGACAGACAGTTGAACAGACAGACAGACAGGTGAACAGACAGACAGGCAGGTGAACAGCTCTTCTTCACTAACTTTCTGCAAATGGAGGGTGAAAATACTGAGTGTGTGCTCAGTATGTATAATGGATCAGCCCTGAGGGCAGCCCACAAGCAGGCAGACCTGAACACACACACGCACCCACGCACGCACGCACGCACGCACGCACGCACGCACGCACGCACACACACCAACACACACACACACACACACACAAGCCATTCCCTGTTTTGGCCCATTAGCTCGAGGGAATATCTATAATGTATATATGTGTGTGTGTGTGGGTGTGTGTGTGTGTTTGTTCAGGTAAGTAACATCCATTAGTAAGTTTCTCGAGATGAAAATGGGTAAACATGTGGAGTGCACGCACACACAGACACACACACACACACACACACACACACACACACACACACACACACACACACACACACACACACACACACACTGCTGTCTTCTTCTGTTACTGATTAGTGCTGAAACGATCATTCATTGATAACTGGATCAATCAGCTTGTGTCTCTGGTCTCTGGTTCTGGTCTCTGGACTCTGGACTGTCTTATTGTTTATAGATGAACTCATAACTGATCAATTGAATGTAGTGATACAAGTGATGTATTGATCCTGGAGGCTGCTGCTCAGCTCTGTGATGTATCGTCCACCTTAGCAGTCATTCACAAACACCATGGTGACCATCCGTCACACCTGTGTGTGTGTTGGTTTGTATAAAAATGCACAAATGTACAAAACCATCACTTATCAACACCCTACCAATCATTCATCTTTAACACACTACAAATCACTTAGCAACAACCTCGTAACCTAGCAACTAGGGTTGTCACCAGAACTAATACTTCCGTACCAAGTCGATGCCACGTGGCAAAAAACGGGACGGTACCCGTTTTCCGTGGTATCGAAGGAACCGAAAAAAAATACCGACACGTGACGAGATCGATCATCACCCTCTTAGGAAGTAACGTAAGACTGACATCCTGTTCAGGGAGGCAGGTGAACGAGTGCTCTTCACGCTGCTCGTGCATCAGGTCTCATCGTGCACAAGCAGCATGTCATTAACTGTATGAGCAACTTATCTCATGGTGCAAAGGTGTCTTACCTCAAAAGTGACAGTAATCTACCAGAAACATGTGTAAAGAACATTAACACTAATCACTGCATCACTGGTGACACGAGTGACTCGGACACATTTAAACAGTTTCTCCGGCACATGCTCAGCCTCTGCCCGAGGGAGGAGGAGGAACGTCCACGACCAGGCTGCGGTCTAGCCCCAATAACAAATGGAAGATGGCGACAAGTTCAGGCACGAAACTTGGTCCAGCTGCAGCACCTCGGCTCATTGAAAGAAAAAGCCAGAAGAGTCGCGCATGGAAATATTTTCCGTCGAGGCGGATGATGAGAGGTTAATTTTAGACCCACAAAAGCCCATTAGTAAACCATGCCTTCGCACTTTCCAAACCACAGTTGAAAAGCTGCTTAAATATAAGCAGTAAACTTTTTATTGCAGAAAAAGTTTACTGCTTATATTTTAGCAAAGTATTGTTTATTTTAAATTCTTGAAGGCGACATGCCACTGTTCTTTATTTTTTGATTTGTATTTTTCAATAAAGGAGTGAAAGAGAATTGTGGAATTTCACTGGTATTGGTACCGACTATTAAATTTCTGGTATCGTGACATCCCTACTAGCAACCACACAACAACACCTTGTGAAGCAGCGTAGTAGTTATTTAGCAGCTGAGTACGACTGATGGTTGTTACCTGGTTCTTGATCTGAAGATGAACAACATGTGAAATGTTTACTACATCTGGGCCACATCTGGGCCGGTCTGTCTTTCCATCACTTAATAATTCACCTAAGGCTGTTTGACACAGCAGCTTTCAGGTGTTTCATCACAGTGTGTTAAAAGAGAAACATCCCTGTTTATGTCAAGTAGTTATAACATTTGAACAGCTGAACTACCTGCTGTCATCACCTGAGGCCTGCTGTGATTGGCTGAAACTTGTCACAGGTGAGAACAGGAGAAAATTAAAGCACAGGTCACATTTCGGCAGAGTGAAAGAGTTGGTAAATGAAAGGCCAATTAAACTGTACACTGTCACGTTTCTGTAGCCACGCCCCCACAGGTGTCTGCACCTCACTGTGAACAGGTGAGTTTCAAACAGAAACAAGCTGCGAGGAGATTTGAGTTTATGTCCTGTTCTTCAGTGTGTGTGTCGTGTGTGTGTGTGTGTGTGGTGTGTGTGTGTGTGTGTGTGTGTGTGCTGTGTGTGTTGTGTGTGTGTGTGTTGTGTGTGTCCTCACTCGTACTCCTCCTTGAAGCCGTAGCCCTCGGCAACATTTCATTGGGTGATGTTGCTGCAGCAGTCAGCCACTCGATGGCCGGTGCAGCTGTCCACGTTGATGGGCAGGCCTCCGCGTCCGCCCCGCCTGCTTATAATTGGACCTGGACCAGGCTGCTGCTGTTCGCGTCGAGCTCATGGTGTGACTTGTCATCTTGCGGGAGGGGGGGGACAGATCAGACTGCAGCTGCAGACACACAGTAACTCACCGCTGTGTGATGAACATGATGTATGATGGACACAAATCACATGATTTCTCCACATGGTATGGACCGGACCAGGCTGACCCATGTCAGAATCCAGGACTACTTTTAGACCATGTACTGATTATCAGGGCGGAGTCAGATCCTGTCAGACCTGTGTGACTCCTCCTGGTATCAGCTCTGCACAACTGGACCACAGCTTCATAACAGTTCTCTTAAGTCCAGATTCAGTTCTGGTCTGGGCAGACTCTGTACAGAACAAACCCACTGTTATACCTGACTCGTTTCAGCATCAGGTCCAGTTTCCACCTGCTGTTACAGACTGAAGAGAAGGACTGGACTCAGTTACAGACTGAAGAGACGGACTGGACTCACGGACTGGACTCAGTATGAAGTCTGACTCTTTTGTTGGGACATTTTCCCCCTGGTTCACTTCTGCAGTGAAACAAGTTAAACTGGACTCAGCAGTGTAGTAAAGAAACACTGTCAGTCTCCTCCTCAAATATAAGACCACGCCCCCTTCAACCCTAATTTACATAAAAACACACTGATATTCAGCATGTCTTTTAATGATAATATGATTTGTAATAATAATAATAATCAATCAGTGTGAGGAGATGCTGTGGGTTTCATACAATAAAACACAAACGCCTTCACCATGAGCAGCTGATCAAGAGAACTGATAATCGATCAATAATCAGTCTGTCTTGATGATAAAACTGATCAGATGATTGATCAAACGCAGGTAAAGGTGATGACACGTGGGAGCAGGTGTAAATGTGTGTACAGTCTGCCCAGAGTTACACACTGGTCCACATCCACGACTACCATGTTGTTACCACGACAACACAAATGAATGGCACACACATCACGTGACGTCAAATCACATGACTGGAGAAAGGATTGTGATTGGCTCTGGGTTCTTTCCACACTGCTGCTGATCGATCACAAATCAATAATATGATGAAGAAAAAGGAGTTTCAATCCGAATCTACTATAAGGGAGGAACTAAGTGCCGATCCAGATCCAGCACAGCACGGTATGAGTACTAGTCTGGATCCAGTACAGTGCAGTATGAGTACTGGTCCATGAGCACTGGTCCAGATGTGGTCCAGGTTCTTGGAGCTGCAGTGTGAAAAGAGCAGAGTTCAGAGTCCTGGAACAGAACAAACCTCTTTGCTAAACCGGTTTCTCGTGACCTTTGACCCTTGAGACCCCATCCAGGACTCTGACGTGAGCATTTCAACAACTCGGCGGACACACCTTTCACTAGTCTCTCTATCTCTGTTCTTATTGGCTAGCCTGGGGGCTGACTGACCAATCAGAAACTCTATCCCAAACAGCCCAACCAATCAGGAGATGGGTGATGTGATGGAGGTGGTGGTTTGTGATTGGACAGATGAAACAACCACAACCACAACAATGACAACCAATCATCGGAGAAAGAGAGACGGACAGAGCTGAAACCTGATTGGTTTGATGTGAAATGGTGAGAGGAGTTGGGGATTGTGATGTCACAATTTCACAGAGGGGTAAAAAATGAGGTGTTGCCACACTAACTGATGACATCACAGCGGTTGGTGGGTGTGGCTCCATGCGCAGCGGTGACCCCCCCCNATTGTGGAATTTCACTGGTATTGGTACCGACTATTAAATTTCTGGTATCGTGACATCCCTACTAGCAACCACACAACAACACCTTGTGAAGCAGCGTAGTAGTTATTTAGCAGCTGAGTACGACTGATGGTTGTTACCTGGTTCTTGATCTGAAGATGAACAACATGTGAAATGTTTACTACATCTGGGCCACATCTGGGCCGGTCTGTCTTTCCATCACTTAATAATTCACCTAAGGCTGTTTGACACAGCAGCTTTCAGGTGTTTCATCACAGTGTGTTAAAAGAGAAACATCCCTGTTTATGTCAAGTAGTTATAACATTTGAACAGCTGAACTACCTGCTGTCATCACCTGAGGCCTGCTGTGATTGGCTGAAACTTGTCACAGGTGAGAACAGGAGAAAATTAAAGCACAGGTCACATTTCGGCAGAGTGAAAGAGTTGGTAAATGAAAGGCCAATTAAACTGTACACTGTCACGTTTCTGTAGCCACGCCCCCACAGGTGTCTGCACCTCACTGTGAACAGGTGAGTTTCAAACAGAAACAAGCTGCGAGGAGATTTGAGTTTATGTCCTGTTCTCAGTGTGTGTGTGTGTGTGTGTGTGTGTGTGTGTGTGTGTGTGTGTGTGTGTGTGTCCTCACCTCGTACTCCTCCTTGAAGCCGTAGCCCTCGGCACATTTCATCTGGGTGATGTGCTGCAGCAGATCAGCCACTCGGATGGCCGGGTGCAGCTGTCCCGTTTGATAGGGCAGCGCCTCCCGCTCCGCCTCCCGCTGCTTATAATGGGACTGGACCAGGCTGCTGGTTTCACTGGTCATGGTGTGACTGTCATCTGGGGGAGGGGGGGCGGGGAGACAGATCAGACTGCAGCTGCAGACACACAGTAACTCACCGCTGTGTGATGAACATGATGTATGATGGACACAAATCACATGATTTCTCCACATGGTATGGACCGGACCAGGCTGACCCATGTCAGAATCCAGGACTACTTTTAGACCATGTACTGATTATCAGGGGGAGTCAGATCCTGTCAGACCTGTGTGACTCCTCCTGGTATCAGCTCTGCACAACGGGACCACAGCTTCATAACAGTTCTCTAAGTCCAGATTCAGTTCTGGTCTGGGCAGACTCTGTACAGAACAAACCCACTGTTATACCTTGACTCGTTCAGCATCAGCGTTCCAGTTTCCACTGCTGTTACAGACTGAAGAGAAGGACTGGACTCAGTTACAGACTGAAGAGACGGACTGGACTCACGGACTGGACTCAGTATGAAGTCTGACTCTTTTGTTGGGACATTTTCCCCCTGGTTCACTTCTGCAGTGAAACAAGTTAAACTGGACTCAGCAGTGTAGTAAAGAAACACTGTCAGTCTCCTCCTCAAATATAAGACCACGCCCCCTTCAACCCTAATTTACATAAAAACACACTGATATTCAGCATGTCTTTTAATGATAATATGATTTGTAATAATAATAATAATCAATCAGTGTGAGGAGATGCTGTGGGTTTCATACAATAAAACACAAACGCCTTCACCATGAGCAGCTGATCAAGAGAACTGATAATCGATCAATAATCAGTCTGTCTTGATGATAAAACTGATCAGATGATTGATCAAACGCAGGTAAAGGTGATGACACGTGGGAGCAGGTGTAAATGTGTGTACAGTCTGCCCAGAGTTACACACTGGTCCACATCCACGACTACCATGTTGTTACCACGACAACACAAATGAATGGCACACACATCACGTGACGTCAAATCACATGACTGGAGAAAGGATTGTGATTGGCTCTGGGTTCTTTCCACACTGCTGCTGATCGATCACAAATCAATAATATGATGAAGAAAAAGGAGTTTCAATCCGAATCTACTATAAGGGAGGAACTAAGTGCCGATCCAGATCCAGCACAGCACGGTATGAGTACTAGTCTGGATCCAGTACAGTGCAGTATGAGTACTGGTCCATGAGCACTGGTCCAGATGTGGTCCAGGTTCTTGGAGCTGCAGTGTGAAAAGAGCAGAGTTCAGAGTCCTGGAACAGAACAAACCTCTTTGCTAAACCGGTTTCTCGTGACCTTTGACCCTTGAGACCCCATCCAGGACTCTGACGTGAGCATTTCAACAACTCGGCGGACACACCTTTCACTAGTCTCTCTATCTCTGTTCTTATTGGCTAGCCTGGGGGCTGACTGACCAATCAGAAACTCTATCCCAAACAGCCCAACCAATCAGGAGATGGGTGATGTGATGGAGGTGGTGGTTTGTGATTGGACAGATGAAACAACCACAACCACAACAATGACAACCAATCATCGGAGAAAGAGAGACGGACAGAGCTGAAACCTGATTGGTTTGATGTGAAATGGTGAGAGGAGTTGGGGATTGTGATGTCACAATTTCACAGAGGGGTAAAAAATGAGGTGTTGCCACACTAACTGATGACATCACAGCGGTTGGTGGGGGTGGCTCCATGCGCAGCGGTGACCCCCCCCAACATGAGTTTCCCCCCTTTAGCCCCAAATTTAACCACTTACCATTAATTGGCACTTTACACAGAGAAAGATAAAAGAGAAGAAGAAGAGAGAGGAGACAGGGTATAAGCAACAACTTTAGCTTTAGCCTATCTAGCCTCCTGCTAACACACAGCTAGCATCAATCAAACAGAAAACTAGCTCCAAGCACTGCAGTAGCTCTTTTTGAATTTATAACAGCTAACAGCTAGCCTTGGCTAACCTGGCTAAATGTGAGACTTGTGGCCTAGGCTAACGTCAGAACCTGAAGCCTGAGTTTAGCTAGCCTGAGGAGTGTTTAGCTAATCTGAGGACAGTTTTGCTAGCCTGAGCAGAGTTATGCTAACCTGTGGAGAGTTTAGCTAACCTGAGGGGAGTTTAGCTAGCCTGGGCAGAGTTTAGCTAACCCGAGGAGAGTTTGGCTAACTCGAGGAGAGTTTAGCTAACCTGAGGAGAATTTAACTAGCCTGAGGAGAGAGGAGAAACTTTCTACGAGCAAAAACAAAGCATGAGAGGCGTTAACACTAAACAAACTGATATTTATCCTAAACCTTTGGTGCTAGCAGCTCACTGTCATTATGCTTTGAAGAGTCTGAATAACTGTTGTTCATATGAAACTAATTTAACTTCTGCTGCTGTGTCTCACCTGTCAGTTTTCATACTGAAAATGTCTGTGTAGGTTCAGACACTTAGTTTTTTCTTTTTAAAGCAAAAACAGTAAAACATTAGTTTTTATGTTTTTGTTGTCAGAATTAAAAAACATAAAAACAGAACTTAAAAAGAAGAACAGAAACTGTCCAATTCTGGTGATTACACATTCCTCTTATTGTTCGTCCACTATGTGATGTCTGGCAGATATATTTCAGAATAAAGGTCTTAGTGTGGGCTACAACCAACAGCAGCTACAAACAGTGAACATTAGCTTGATCACTAAGTGATCAAGAGCGAACAATAATCTGGTAACAGCAGCGATCTCTGCTGGTCACTGTAGACAACACTATCTGAGAGGGACCACACAGTTTGTTTCCACATATTAATTAATCAAGCTTTTAATTCTAGTAAATGATACATCACACTCTTCCTCTTAATGCAACGCAACAAACACAACTTCTGTCTGTGCTTGTGTAAAGTTACACTTTATAGAGTGGCCATTCAGTTCTCATGGCATTTATTTTGAAATATTTACCTTAACTTCCATGTCACCTGACTACCTTTCTTCATTCTTCAACTCAACAAGGAAAAAAAAAGGTATTCAAAAACACCAGAATCAGACCGTTTCTTCTAATGTGATGTTCTTGTCTTTGGTTTTTTAGTTTGACAACAAAAACAGAAAAACAAAAAAACGTATTTTTGTTTTTCGTTCTGTCTGAACGTTCACTGATGTCAGAGACTCAGGACAGACGCTGGTTTCAATTCAATGGTAATAAAGTAATCAGGTCAGGTCAGTGTTGATTTTCCATTTTTAACCAAAACCTGAACCACTAATCAGTTTACATGAATCAATTAGCTTTAGCTACTGAACCAATATTTGTTCTGTCAAAAATTTGTGCTTTTGAAAATATGTTCAATACTTAGATTAAAAACATAATTAAGGCAGCATGAGATTCAAAACATTTTAGTCACAAATGAAAATGTGAATAAATATTATTTCTACAATTTAACCTCCCTATTGATCTGTATAACCAATAACTGGTTTATTGATCTGTATGATAAGGATAGAAAGGTGTAATAACTGGTCTCTAACAGACTGTGATCAGATCTCAGTGTTCATTAATGTTAACCACTCTTCAGACGATAAAACATATATATAAAATATAATCTCCTGTTATCAACCAGTTATTACATGTTGATATGCTGATAAACAGGAGCCTGATCCTGTTGATATTGAAGTGATTGTTGTGTACAGGGTCCTTGGGGTGAAAGGTCACATCCTGCTGGTTTTAGGTTTAATCTACAGCTCTGACACGCTGAGAGACGATGACTTTAAGTTTCCTCCTCGTTAATGTTAATACAGAATATGTGAGAATCCACAAACATCCAAAAATCACACAGATGTCCCAGAGTGAGACTAACAGACTGACTCCTCCCCCCAGTCCACGTGGGCGTGTTGTGTCCATGCAGAGGTTGGAGGTCACAGACAGACGTGACGTCAAAGACAGACGTGACGTCAACACGACACGCAGGAATGTTGTGGATGCAGGAATGAAGTGAAGCCCACCGTCGTTTCCGGAGAAAACAGGTCAACAACCAAAAAAAAAAAATAATAATAATAATTCCACTATTTCTCCAATGAAATGCTTTCAAAAAGGAAGCAAATCAAAAACGGAAAAATTAACTGTACAAAAATTTAATGAAAGGAAAATAAATGTAATTTATGATGAAGGATTTAAAACAAACTTTAAAGTAGAAAATAAAAAAACAAATAACCAAAAGCAGCTGAACGAGAAGCAAGCAGGGATGGATGGAATACCACTCTCTCTTTCTCTCATTCTCTCCATCCTCATCTCTAGGCTTTCACCTGTCTCTCTCTCTGTCTCACCTGTCTGTCTACTTCCTGTCTGTCAACCTGTGCAAGTTGGATTCTCTGTCCTAGAGAGGAAAGAAAGAAAAAGTGTCTCACCCAGAATGGCTGTCGGTACGAAGGGGTCTGTCGCCAGGACGCATCAGCCGCAGGCAGACAGGTGGAGAGACAGACAGGTGGACAGAGAGACAGGTGGAGAGACAGACAGGTGGAGAGAGAGACAGGTTGAGAGACAGACAGGTGGAAAGACAGACAGGACAAAGGAAAAAGAAGAGAAGAAGAAGAGTCAGCTCCCTACATCTCAGTACCTGTACACGAGTCAGACCAACTGTGACTGAATGTCGGCACAGTTGGCTGAATGTCGGCAGACGACTGGTTACTGGCACCAGAGGACCAAATGTGTGCCGGATCTGGGCGGGACAGTCCACCAGTTTTGGGAGTGTGAATCGGTTACAGCAGCACTTAGCCCAGCCTCAGCCCAGTGACAGCACCCGGAGTCAGATCAGTGTAGTTGGACCCCGATCATCAGTCGTCCAATCAGGAGCCAGATTTCAGTAAACTCCATCCACTCACATATAAACTAATATTGTAATTATTATCATTTTTATTATTCAATCTACATCTTTGTTATTTATATTAATCGTGTGACAGACAGAGAGCAG